AGGGTAGCAGGGTTCCGGTTCTAATTTAGGGGGAAGGAGGAAGGAGGGGTCGGGGGACGGAGGAATCCGTGAAGGAGGTTCCGGTTCTGGTCGACGGCGAGGGGGTGGCAGGGTTCCGGTTCTGGGATAAGGGGGGTCGGCGGTGACCGGCAGGGGTTGGCATCTAGGGTTAGATCTAGGTCGGATCTAGGAGTGTTAGGTCTGGAGAAGGGGTGGGGTCGCCGCCCGCCACCGTCCGACGAACATCTACACCGCCGGCAGGAAGGACGAACGCTGAGGGTCGACGCGCCGGCGACTATTCTGAGGAAGAACTGTTACAAGCTACAACGGGAGAAAGCAGAGCAGCGCAGAGGAGAGAAAAAGTTTCAGAGGACCAACTCGAGATTCACTCGTGTTTAACATATGAAATTGACAAAAAATAGTGTCTTATGATCCAAATGTTATTAGCTATCACCACCATATACATGACATTCCATGTAGTTAAACCGGGCTCTAAGCAGTTCTAAGCATGGTTTGATTTATGTAGTGATGTATGCAAATGAAGAGCTTTTGATTTGGGCCTGGAGATAACAATCTGAAATGGAAAAAGAGCTTTTGGTTTGGACCTGATTAAATTTTACATGATGTTATGATATGGGTGTATATGTTGACATGTGTTCTTTATATTTAAGCATCTTGGAAGCGTACCGGACTGGAAGATGACGCATCGTAGTAAGAGGGAAGACTGATATTGAACTTCTTGAGTTTAAAACTAAGCGTACTGTAATTATAATTTAGGAGGTTTCATTTCCTTTCCCTCTGAACTATACTGGGATTTGGATGTTTGCTCTCTTCTCATGGATATTATTGGGTTGAATAAATTAATTTGTTTTTTCATTTTTAAAATGATTGGAACAGATTCCTTACCAGAAATACAAAGCATCCCTCGTTGAGAAGATTGCAGAACTTGTGGAAAATAAGGTAGGGTTTTAATAGCTTTATCCTTTCCGCTTATGGAACTACACAATTTTATATGATAAAAAATAAGGTTAAAAAGAGGCTTATATACAACTGACTATATATACCTTAGCTTTAGAGACGATTTAGGTTGTGGTTTCCTACGTGACAAAATGCCACTACACAAACAAACTATTTATATTTAGAAGAAACAAAGACCACAAAGAAAGATTCATGTTTTGTTTTTGAGCATTTGATGTTGTTTTCTTTCTTAATACATAATATTATTTTGAAAGATAACATTTTGAAAAAACATGTCAATTCTATTGAATATACTTAGACACAATAGTTAGCTGTGTTTCACTAAACCTGTTATTTTAGAGTTTTCCTATTTGTTAGTGTGTGTGTGAACAAAACAACGACCAAGTTGGATCACACGAAGTAGGGTTTGGGGAGGGTGTGTGTACGCAGACCTTCCGCCTACTCAAAACTTGAGAGGTTGTTTCCATGAGACCCCCGGCTTAAGCTGCACATAAAAAAGGATCACCTAGTAGATTCATAACGCAAGGAAAACACAGATACAATGCAAATAAAGCACCAAACGCACATCATTAAAACTGGATTAAATAAGTTTACAAAACGAGAGTATCACAAGCAAATAGCAAATAACACCGAGCATAATAGGCTTACAAAGCACACAACAACAACACCCTCTAGCTCTTGGCACCTACCCTGAAACTCTAGTCCTATGTCTCCAATTGCTCCTATCTAAGGCCATATCCTCAGTAAGGGCAAGAAGTCCAAGTCTTGTCTAATCACCTCCTTCCAACTCTTCCTAGGTCTACCTCTTCCACCCCCCTACCAATATAAGTCTCGCATCTCCGCACTGGAGCTTCAACATTCCGCCGTCTACCTCCTTCCAACTCTTCTTAGGTTTACCTCTTCTACCTCCCCTCCCAATGTAAGTCTCTTGCATCTTCGCACTGGAGCTTCAACATTCCACCGTCTTACATGACTGGACCACCTCAACCTAGCTTCCCAAAGCTTATCTTCCACTGGCGCCATGCCTAACCAACCTCGAATAACCTCATTCAGAATTTTATCCTGCCTCTACTGCCCACACACCCACTGCAACATCTGCATCTCTGCCGCATGCAAATGACCCACATGATTCTTTTTAACCGCCTAACACTCCGCCCCATAGAGCATAGCTTGTATAACTATAGACCGGTAGAACATACCTTTCATCCTGGGTGAAGTCTACTTATCGCGCAAGACTCCTGAAGCCAACCCCCATTTAGCCCAAGCTACTCCAACACGGTGGACGGTGCACAACATCCCCGTCTAACTCCCCATCTGCCTGAATGACCGAGCCAAGATACCGAAACTTGTCTGTTCTTGTGTTTATCTAAAAAAATTGGTAAATGAACTTCATATTTCTTTCTCAAAATCTCTTCCATTCATCATGGTATCATAGCCAAGCTCAAGCAACTCCCGCGTGCTGAGTTTCTAGTTTGAGGCACCTTCGGTAATTTGTTCCTTATTTTTTCAGCCAGTTCTTCCAACAGACCAACACTCTGACAATCTTATCTGGTTATATTTTTCAGACCAGCTTGGTTTTCTTTTGCTACTTCTTCTATGTAGTTGTTATTCAGTTGTCACACTGTTGAATATCGAGTCATTGAAGCTTCCAGTCCTGTTGTAGATTAAAACAAGTCAAGTTCTAGTCCGTGCAGTAAAGGTTTTCTCTCCAAATCCATTAGGAAATACCATCATTACATGTCAAAAGCTCTTAGGTTCTCACAATTATAATTTTTGGTCAGATGCATCTCAAATATCATTAATGGCATAAGCTTTGCTGATCATTTGGCCAAGAAATCAGAAAAAGAAAACATGAAGAAAGGCCTAATCGAGAAAGGGTTGATGCTCTGTTGTTGAGCCTCTTGTGGCAATCTTTTTCATCTAATGAATGCCTTTGTTTAGGCCAAAAGTCGAAGACATGTTTCAGTATGTAATAAAGCAAAGATGTTCTACACCAATGTTGGGCCGCAGTTCTTTGCTACGGTTGATGGTTCAAACATCATCAGTAAGGAAGGATTGAGCATGGGAACATTCCTCGAGGAATGTTCGAGGATTTACGACCGGCTTTTACTTATTAATGCCTCTATGTGCAACTCCATAGGAACAAATTGCTCTGTGGGAACTAGAAAGTTCTTTGTTCGGTGGTTTATTGAAAACTAGGACTCAAAAGTTATTGTCTAGATACACAACATTATTATGTGTCCCACAATATTACCATCACAAGACATCACCATATTCCTCATCCACTCATATGGAAACACTACATCAACAACCCAGTGTCCCAATTATATCTTTAATTTCACCTTCACAGGAATCACAGAAGAACCGGCGTCCCAACCTTTAATGTAATCTCAATAAGAATCAAGTTCCTGCAACCGTACAAAGTCAATCGTACCTAACAGGAGACCATCTCCTAAAAAAATATACTGAAATTCAATTACCAAGTCCATTTGGTCCGAATCCTTGTAAAATCTTATTCATCTTTAGTTTATTGTTCAATCAGTTACAATTAAATTCCAGCAACGTTACAGTGTAAATGTACCTAACTCGACTCCATCTGTTCAAAATTCTAGTGGAATTCGATGACCAGAATCTCATCCAATCCCATCATCTCCAAATCGAGCTATAAGACCTTTCCATTGCACCTACTATAATAGAGCCAGGGAGTCATCTCTGCAGTCACCTCTTCAAGAGTCAACAAAAGGCTATAATCTTTTTGAATTCCGATTCATTTCTTCAACGAATTCCATTCAAGGAACCAACTCTATCAACAACTTCTGGTTCACCATGTAATGTAGCTTATTATGTATGGTAGTTAGGTGGCTTATATGTAACGTGTCTGTAGACACACACACGTGTGTGTAAATGTCTACAATGTATATTTTTATTGTAACTTTACCTAGTGAATACACGTCATATTTCTTTCTCCATTATCACTTCCATTCAACAATTTCTTTATTTCCTTGGGCTTGTCCTTAATTTTTCATGCGTACACATACACATGTGTTAGCTAAGCTAGGGAATGTGATCAAGGAAAACCAAGTGCATAAAGTTTATGGTATTTTAAACTGGATTGATTCCTCAGATTGTGCAGACTTAGAAATGGCTAGTGATCAGGTCTGCTGAGCCCTTAAAACAGGTGGAATGGGGAGGTGGTTTTGAACCGATTGAACTGGTTCGAAATTGGGTTAAACCGGGTGACTTGTTGTTTGGATGGTTGGATCAATTTGGTTTTTCAATGCATAGACGTAAACAAGAATGTCATCTAATTTTATGATGTAATTGCTAAATTTGGGTTTCCATCTAACACAAAGGAATTGAATCCAATGTTTACTTAATTAAATTTTTTTTGTTCTCATTTCAAATTATAATCATGTATACATTTTTTCCCTCAAAACTCGAGTGTCATGTGTCTGTTTATGAATTAATATACTATCATTATAAAATATTGTTTCAGCCATAGGTGGCTTGACTGTTTTGATTATTGATCTGATTAAGCTGATCAGTGAGCCATTGCCTTGACCGGTTCATTTACTTTTCTTATTGGGTTAATTTTCTGGTTTTGGCTGGATCAGAATTGATTATTATTGTATCCTTATTTTTTAAATAATAAACAATAATCTTGTAAGTATATTTCCTGAATTTTAATTCTTCACTTTTGTGATGTTCGGCTAATTGTCTTAGTAATCTCTAATATTTCTCGACTTTGCTCAATCACGTATTTGTATATGCTTATCCAATGTTACAATTGTTGTTTGTAAATTTCCCTAACTTTTCTCTCTCGGAGGTTGGAAGGGATAAGTGATATTCGAGATGAAAGCGATCGATCGGGAATGCGCATTGTCATTGGGGTACTAATTGAATTTATGTAGAAGGAATCAATTTCCATGTTTGGATCGTATGATGTCATGATGATATTGTTCCTTCCCTCTAATATTTTCCAGCTTAAGAGAGGATCAGATTCATCTATTGTATTGAACAGTCTCTATATTCATACTGCTCTGCAGTCTAGTTACAGCTACAACATGGTTGGTTAAGATTTTTTCCCTATTGGCCGACACAATCTCATTGCATGAAAGGTGAAAAAGATTATGCTATCAGCAAAAAAGGTTTATCACTTGCATCCTTGCATAATAAAAGATCATCTGGTTTCAATTTTTTCTGCTTATTCCAGGTTTCAGATTCTTACAATTAGCTAAAATAAGTTGGTGCTTTTTTTTATTTATATACTGAGTATAATGAATTGCTTATTTTGCTCACCAGAACTTGAATCCTAGTAGTAAACAACTTCATCTGTCCCACTTTGTTTGTTTCATTGCAGTTTACATACAACAAAAACAACAACATTACCCCATGGTCAAAGTCTCCCGTTCATGGCTGGGTGGGGGGGGGGGGTTTGGATATACGCAGCCTGATCCCTAATTTTAGGTACATAATAACTTTTGGATCATTGAGGCAGGTAGATAAACACATCTACAAATATATCTAGGAGGGTATTTTAGGTACATAATAAGTTTTGGATCCTTGAGGAAGGTGGATAAACATAATCATAAAAATTTCTAAATTGTCTCAAATCCCTGTATCAGCAAAACACACGAGAGCTATGTGTCCTATCTTACAATAGTGCTGACAAACAACATTTAAACTGGGTTGTGCAATATTTCTCCTAGGTTGTTATGACCCTCAAATGTCCTAGATTGCACACGATCTCTTTTTTTGTTTTCTAATGCCAATCTTTCTAAAATTGGTTAACTTATTTTTAGGTGATCTATGTTCCATATGCTTTACGATCTAAATTTTCCCAACATTGTTTTGCTTATTAACTTCAAGTTTTGTCTCTTTATTTTTTACATCATTTCTAGGTGAACTAAACTTGCAAAAGTGCTTTTACATTCTATTTCTAATTTTAAAGTTTTGCAAGATGTTTATATTGAACTCTGGCTTTTCGAGTCAGCCTACTTGGTTAACCTAGGGTCCGTTTGGTGAATTTTGGAGGAATAATATGATATGGGTTTCTGAAATCTGAAAAAAATTTGGACTTTGATATCTGAAATGGAAGTGTCTGGAGAAATAAAAAAGGAAATGAAGTATACAGTTGTTCTATTTTCAGGAACTGTTGCATGGGAACTGACGCTTGAATTTCATTTTCCTGCGAACTTATGTAATATTTTTAATAATTAATTCTATTGTCGTGTAGTATTAAAAGTAAATTAAGGATATTTTAATTTATTCTGGGGAAGATATATTGTTCAATGTTTTCAAGTATGGGAATGTGAACCTAATTCTTTTATGAAAAGAATTAAGAGTACAGAGTTGGTTGTCTAACTAGACATCAACTATGGGGTTTTGACTATAAAATGGTTAGTGTTGAGAAAAAGAAGAAAAAACAAGAAAAGAAAGTGAGAAGATAATCTAAAGCAACCACACCACCTCCATCTCTCAACCTTTCCTAGTTTGCTCATCACTATGCCACCATCTCACTCAAGGCCTTAACCCAGCATTGCTACTGCATCACTACCTCACCATCAGCATCATCCACCCTTGCTGATGCAAGCAGATAGGTTCCATAACCTCAGTACTTGTGTAGGCTGATTGAAAGTGGTGACTGGTGATACTGGAAGGATAGTTATACCAAATCAAAGAGTTGAAAGAGCAATCAGGTCTGTACAAGACGTGCTTCATCTTGATATATTACAATGGCTGCTTCCTGAAGAGAGGGAGGAGATTAACAGATGTAATATTTTGATAAAGTTAATGTTAATGGCCATTTATGTTTTATGCGGATGGGTAAAGCCTCTTTTGTCAATACCCATTATCTTTTGTAAGTTTTATATTCTAATTCTGATACCCATATTAAATCAGGTAACCCCTTCATTTCAGTAGGGCATGTTTACTAGTTGGTAAACTGTAGCCCCATGGTTTTCGTTACTGACGATGCTAATAAATGGTTTCATTTTCAGGCACTTATAGAGGGAATGCTGCTCTCAGACATAGATCAAAATACAGTTTGTCATCTATATTACATGTTAATTACAAGTTTCTTACTTCTGAGTTAGTCACTTCTGATATGATGATTAACAGGTTCATTTTGTCCCAAATTTTGACAACTCAGAAACAGAGCCATCTCTACTCCCTGCTAGAATCCCGAATCTGCTTCTGAATGGTGCCTCTGGAATTGCGGTAATCGGTCTGATCCAGAAAATAGTTAAATGTTTTTATTTTCTATTCATTTCTATACCAGTTTACATATCCCTTTGTCATGCGTTTGTTTCCATTCTTTATGCTTTCAAGTTGGCATGGCCACAAATTCCCCTCCACACAATCTTGGAGAGCTTGTTGATGCAATGTCTTCTTTAATTCATAACCCAGAAGTATCGGTAAAAATGAATTCAGTTATTTCACATTGCTATGTTGAGATTACTTCTCATTGCCATTTTGAGATCTGTTATTTCACTTTGCCATTTTGAAAGTACTTTTATTCTGTTGGAGATTCCTTTTTGTTTTTCTCTTTGACTATTTCCATGCCATCATTTGCAATCTAGCAGTCTCCTTTTTTCCCCAAAAAAGAAAAGTAGATGCATTTTTGCATTATTAATCCAGATCCAACTGGGAGCGTTATCTAGTATTGTAACAGTGGTCTTGATTTTTAACCCAAAACATGTAATAACTCAACGTGAAGGAGGCCATTTCTCCTACATTGACACATATGTGTTACCTCTTCATCATGCTTTCTCTTTATTTCATTCTTTTTTCTGATAATCTTTTGTATTTATGATTTTTTTCATTCTGGTCATTGATAATACTGCACTTCCTGCCCAAGCTTGATCTTTATTGCTTTCTGCCTTTGCCTTCGTGTCATATCTCTAGATTGACAACTTGGTTCCTTATTCCTGTAAAATTAATATGCATTAGATGTGCTTTGGTCTTTCATGTTGACATATATATGTAATGGGGCACATGTTTACTTGCCTTGAAGGACAATACTTGGATTCCTTTAATCTCTACAGTCCACATGCTAAGTCTAAGAAACCTTGGGAAACTTCTAGGTGGTGTGATTTTTGTATCAGATATGAAACTAGAGTCTTTAATGTGTTCTTAGGCAGTGTCCTGTTTAGCCACACGTCATGCCAAATAATTTTAGCTTAATATTTTAATAGCAGGAAATTTATTCAAATAAAATAGCACAATATTATCACATCTGACTTCTTGCATTGATTGATGATATCAATGCCACAGTGGAATGTGCTTTTTAGCGATCATCATCAGTCTCCGACTAAAATTGGGAAATTTGTTGGTGCTGTGTCTTGTGTATCAGGGATGGAACTCTCTCTTTAACGTGTTTCAAGGAAGTGACTTGTCTAGTCTTATACAACAACATTACCCCCGTTCCTCAAAGGCTCCCACCCTTTGTGGGGTGAGGGGGGTTGGGTGTGGGCACCTTGGCCTCTATGTTTAAAACATAGAGCGGTTGTTTCAAGACAACCCATGATGACCGATGAGCGTCAAAAGTTGCATTGACTTACTGCTACTTCACTATTAAAGAAGCACAGAGTCGCATACTTTTTAAAGAGCGATTTTGCTTTATTCGATCATACCCCAAAACCAAAAATAGTGAATCATTGGCTCCATTGGACATGATAGAAAAAGCGAGAGATATACTTGGTTTTAGCTTAGGTTTTGGAAGGGCGCAAGAAACTCAAACTCCATGATGGAATATTATAACGTCTGAGTTCATGCATTTTATACATGTCAACTTCTCATGGCAGAAATGTTGTGCTTTTTCCGTCATCACCAACCTTGGACTTACAGCTATATGACTTTTTTACAAAACAACATGATGTCGGATGGGTTTTCTGTGCCACATTACATGATCTTTTAAACCTACATTCATTGAGTGCAGTCAGGCCTGAAAGCTAAAATATCACTTTCAAAAGATCTTATGATGCATATTCACCTGTTCATGTACAACTTCTGACTATTGTGCAAAACTAATGTGAGAAGATCCTTGACACTTTAATTTGGATTGATCATCAAAATAAACATTATTAAAGTTAGCCCAGTGATTCACACTGCTAATAACTGTGTTTGCTTTGAATTTCAACCCTTTTTGATGCAGCTGCAAGAACTACTCGAGCACATGCCCGGACCTGACTTCCCTACAGGAGGAATCATAATGGGCAGCATTGGGTAAGTTAGCATCATCTCCTTTTACATCCCTCACCATCCTCTTGCCTAACGAGGAGAAAAAATATTAAAGGTAGTCCAATATCCCATGCTTAATCTTTATATGGGCCCGGATATCTAACATCAAAGAAAGAGATATCAGGATATGGGATACTCATATAAGCATGGACCATCCATCATAGGGTTTTTTTATAGCCAATCATCACAATAAACTTTATACAATTTCTTCCCACCTATCTTTTATGTGATTATTCCTGTTTGTTATCCCTGGAAATAACATTATTAAAAGCAAAGTCAATATGTTCTAAAGGAATTAAGGCAAGAGTCTGAACAATATTGCCTATTGATATTTTTTCTCTTTGTGTGACTCCTTCCGCAATATATTTTGTTGCATGGAGTTGAACCTGACTGAGTATCGTGCAGTGTTTAACATATGAAATTGACAAAAATAGTGTCTTACGATCCAAATGTTATTAGCTATCACCACCATATGCATGACATTCCATGTAGTTAAACTGGGCTCTAAGCAGTTCTAAGCATGGTTTGATTTATGTACTGATGTATGGGAATGAAGTGCTTTTCTTTTGGACCTGATTAAATTTGACATGATGTTATGATATGGTGTATATGTTGACATGGGTTATTTATATTTAAGCATCTTGGAAGCGTACCGGACTGGAAGAGGACGCATAGTAGTAAGAGGGAAGACTGATATTGAACTTCTTGATTCTAAAACTAAGCATACTATACTGGGATTTGGATGTTTGCTCTCTTCTCATGGATATTATTGGGTTGAATAAATTAATTTGTTTTTTCGTTTTTAAAATGATTGGAACAGATACCTTACCGGACAAACAAAGCATCCCTCGTTGAGAAGATTGCAGAATTTGTGGAAAATAATGTATGGTTTTAATAGCTTTATCCTTTCTGCTTATGGAACACAATTTTATATGATAAAAAATAAGGTTAAAAAAAGAGGCTTATATACAAGTGACTACATATACCTTAGCTTTGCAGAGACATTTTAGGGTGTGGTTTCCTACCTGACAAAATGCCACCATAGATAAACAAACTATTTATATTTAGAAGAAACAAAGACCACAAAGAAAGATTCATGTTTTGTTTTTGAGCGTTTGATGATGTTTTCTTTCTTAATACATAGTATTATTTTGAAAGATAGAATTTTGAAAAAACATGATGGTTTTAATTTTTTTTCAGCTTATTCCAGGATTCAGATTCTTAGAATTAGCTAAAATCAGTTGGCGCTGTTTTTTTATACTGAGTATAATCAATTGATAATTTTGATCACCAGAATTTGAATCCTAGTAGTAAACAACTTCCTCTGTCCCACTTTGTTTGTTGCATTGCAGTTCACATATAACACAAACAACAACATTACCCCAGTGGTCAAAGTCTCCCGCTCATGGCTGGGTGGGGTGGGGGGGAGTTGGATGTACGCAGCGTGACGCCTAATTTTAGGTACATAATAACTTTTGGATACTTGAGGGAAAAAATTACTGTGGGGTACCTTAGATTTTGTGAAAAAAACTACAACGGGGTACTTTAAAATATCAAAAAAGCTACTCCAGGGTGACATTCCGTCACTGTCAATGGTATAATTGATTTTTAATAATAATAGTAATAATTATTAATAAAAATAATATGGAGTAATTAATAATAATAATAATAATAATAATAATAATAATAATAATAATAGAATAAGAAGAAAATAGTATTGGAAAGGAAAACTTAGCCTTCTTTGATTTAACTTGAAGAACATCAATCTCTCCTTCTTTCTACAGATCAGATGTTGAGAAAAACTTTACTGAGATTTGCTTCGTTATGTCTCCCTTGATGTAGCCTTCCTTGATTTGAGCTATGCATGTTGCGTTATCTTTACATATAATCGTAGCATTCTTCTTGATTTCTTTCAAACTGCATGCTCCTTGTATGAGATTAATCATCAATCTCTACCATGCTCGCTCTCGATCACTGTCGTATAATGCTACCAGTTCGGCTTGATTCCATGTTGTTGTTCGTGCTTGCGCAGTCAACTTCCAAGAAAATATCGTATCACCATATGTGAACACATACCTGTCTAATTTCACACATAAAATTTTGGTACTGCAGGACCAAGTACTTCTTCACCCTTTTTAATTTTGGGAGGCAATTAGAATGTTATGTATATATATGAATGAACAACCATGGGTATGTTCAAAGGATGAGCTTTATCCATATTTCAACGTGTTAACATCTTCTGGATGTAGTTTAACTTATGGACAAATGTGCCATCATATAGGTGTTTAAAATACAATCCTAAGTATAATTTATGTCATGTCAAGATCTTTCATCTCAAATTCTCTCTTCAAGAGCTCAATAGTTTTTTTCTCTATCTCTTCAGGAGATCTAATGATATTTATACGTCGACGTAAACTGCTATAATAAAAAATATTGAGAACGATCCTTGAATGACAACACATAGGTTGATTTCAAATTTGTATCTTTATTTTTTGAGATATTCATTGGGTCAATTGTACCATATGACCAGATTACTTGAGACCATTCCACGATCTCTTCACACATATCTCGATGTATTAATTTTATTGCTTCTGGCATTTTGAATCCTTCAGGGATTATTATCACACACATGTCGATTTCAAGTGTCCCTTATAATTCTGTTATAACGACATCTATATCATTTATTTGAAGTCCTTTTGAGATTGCGAGGCCAATTAAAATTCTAAAAGGATATTGCATCCACTAGTGGAGAATACGTTTCCTCATAATCAACTCCTGGGATTAGGGAAAAACACTTGCCTTACAAGTAGTACTTCATATCGCGCAATCTCATTCATTTTATTTCTGTTTATTACAAACACCCATTTTAAACCTATTGGTTTGACGTCTATGGGTGTTCAGACTTCAAGTCCGAAAATATTCCGTTTATCGAGTGACTACATGTACTCTTCTTTGAGTTTAGGCATGTAATCTCTTTTATTGATTACATCCATTGCCATAGCATATGCAAGAATATCATTAACACGTGTTTCATTTCGGTTCCATATTGTACAGTCTCGTACATAATTAATAGAGATCTCATTTTCTTTCGGTATCGATGTTTCTTTAAGAAACTTATTCTTCTGGAATCATATTAGTCTCTTCTAGGGTTTCATTTTCTTCTAGAATAGTATTAGTCTCTTCTGGGACAATGTCCTCTTCGGGGGTTGCAGTTCTGATCATGTATGTGGTTTCACTAATAGCATTTTTCTGCTATTTTCATTTTCGTGGGTCCTTATCTTTGGAACCGATTATTCTCCCACTTTCATTGTACAATAGTCACTTTTGGGACTACCTTAAATCGAGCGATGCACAAGATGCTGGTTTATGTAACTTTGTCACTCTGCTCGTATATCAGAATGCATCTAGTAATTCATTTGCTCTTCTTTGCAAATCAGACTTCAAAATTACATTGACCACTTTAGGAGTCAAAACTTACAATGATGATGCATTTTATATAATTTCTTGTATTACCAGTCTTTCATTATTCTTGTCTCCCCCTAAGACTGGGAATATTTCATCATAAAATTGACAACAAACTTACTTTGATGTTAATATATCTCCTGTCAAAAACTCTAAACATTTAACAATAAACGAGGAGTTATAGCCAATGTCAATACACAGTCTTCTACATTATATTGAATGCATTGTGGGGGAGAGGGCATATAAGGCACACAATCAAACAATCAAATATTGTGAGAAGGGACAAACTTGTTTCTCTTCAGGAGATATCAAGTGTAAGAAACTCAAAAATTTGAAGATTTGACATTTTATTTATGGGGAAGGATTAATAAAAATGAACATGTGTATATAAAATACATGTGAAGAAGAACTTCAGGTTCTCATATGTTGGAACTATAGGTTCCTTATAATAAGACCATTGTGTTTTTTTTAAATGGTTGAGAAAATGTCAAAAATTCACTTCTAACCAAAGCATTTACAATTGACTGATAAAATTCATAATAAGCACTTTATTTGCAATATCTTGGTACAATCTTATTTGTTGAACTTCAGGTTCACATCTTTTATAGAAGATTATATATAATCTAGTAATAATATAGAATTTATCAACTTCTTCAAAAACCTTCCCTTAGTTTCTACCTACCATTATAGTACCTTAATAATTTATCTTAATTTAAGCCCATTAAGCATCTGCTCTAAATAATTACCACATAAATGAAGATTCAAAATATAGTATAAAATGATTTGTTCTCATAATCAAAAGTATAGCCACTAATTCGATGCACTTTGCATATTAACTAGAGCTGCAGGCTCTTTTGTGACTAATGATGTTCAACATAACCTATAAATTGTGTCCATAATATAATATATATGGACAAATATCATAAATTTTGGGTTACGAGTTAATTGTCAACAAATATGACAAATATAACGATGCATCATATATAACATTTAAATTGTGATCACGAATATTTGATGGGCCCGACCAATTATCCTTGAACAATTTCTTAATATGTATGAAATGAATCTCAAGTTTCATTAGTAATAATCTCATAATAATCATCTAATGAGAACAAGACTATAGGATCTTCTGGTTCTTATAATAACAGAAATTTGTTCTTCAAATAGTACTCACTTGAGTTCTTATTATTTTTTCTTCACACCACAAACTAAAACGTGATAATTTAATTGGTTATGTTTAGGATAAAAACTAATTCAGTAAACTTCTGGTTTACGTGAAAACAAATCTCGATAAAGTGTCATGAAATATTCATTTCCACTGGTATCTTAAACATTAATAGAGACACCTTAAACAATAAGGATTTAATTGTTTATACCCAATAGAATATTCGTCAATGAAGGACAATAACTATTTTCTCAAAATATTCAATATTTATGAGACCTTTATTACTTCTATTATGCAGCTCTTATTATGCAATGCTCTTCTGGAGCTATCTATCAGTTTTGTATAAAAAGAAAATTATATCCACACTAACTTCTTTTATCACAAGAGAAAAGAAGCTCTTACATCTAAAAAAATATAATATGCATAATCACTCCTTTGATTATAATATATTAACTACATCATTCTTCAGGAACATCGATGAGGAATCATATATACATTAGAACAAAGGTCTTGAAATATCAAAACGTCTCTTTTTAATGAGATTTTTTTTATGTACTAAAATCAGCCACTTCAGGTGGTAATTGAATATTATAAGACCTTAGGTAGTATCTCATATACCCATATATTGTGTTTGATGAACATGTTGACTCTTATTTAATTTAGGAGATTATACATCTTATTAATAATTTGTTTTCAGAATTCAATATTCTTCAGTATATGCCTTTTTTAACACTACCACTTTAGAGGATATTAGATTCTCAAACACTATCTTATAATCTCAAACCACATATAACATGCAATTACATATATTGGTCACTCAAATTTTATTGCAACATAGTAATTCACATTAAAATATAATATTATTGCATAAGGAGAGAATGCATAGAACAATGTATTTTAAAAAAAATCATTAGGCCATTTTACTTCTGGAAAATAGTAAATACATAAGAAAAGTTTTATTTCTTTATTCTCTTCTAGAGAATATGGACATTTAGAATAAATATCCAATTTGATTCACTTTGGGGACAAAATTTAACACTTTTGTAAAATATAATAATAGTGCCAAAAAAAATTATAAAGTGAATGATCCAAAATTTTGCCTTTATCAAAAATTAGCTAGGGAATCACATAGCATGAGTTGTGTAAACTTGGCAAATATAACGTATTAAAATGCACATTTTCGTTCCCTCAGCATCAACAACAAAGATAATCCATAATTGCATATTTGAATGCATTTTTTTTTCAACATAAAATATGAATGAAGCTACCATTTAACAATGATGCATATCCAAAGTAATAATAGTCGTATTTACAACGATGCATATCCAAAGAATTTAAATGTCATTTGTGCTTATGGTATCTTAATTTACATATACACTTAACTCCTCATGTGATAAAACATGATAAAGTTTGATACTTCATTTGAAAGTCCTCTTTTATAGGTCATGAACATATAAAACAACAAAACATTTATCACATTTGTGATCAATTAATAATTATGCATTTTTTTCACATGAGCACATATGTCAATTCTTATGTACAATCACAGCTTTTTAAACGTCCAACAATCTCAAGTCAAGGTACACAATAATTAAAAAAAACATACTCTAACCATTCTACCAAAATATATGGTCAACATTATTTATTCTTAGAGAGTATTAATTTTAAGCTATTAGGTTTTTTTTGTGTTGACCGCAACAATGAGAAAAGCATGAGTTTTGAAGGCATAACATTCATATTTCTAAATGCAAATCAAAGTTTTTGTTTTCTTCGGAAAAACACAAGGTCTGTAATTTTTTTTTCAAAATGCTTAATTTGACAATAGATTATCATAATATGATTATCACATGCATTCACATATATAGTCACATAAACTAGAATACTCAATTTGGATATGCAATCTCAAAAATTTAATTTTGTAAAAAGGTAAAAGTACCTGGACCATGTGAGGATTATAAAAGCAGAGCCCTAAGTTATCAATTCAGATATGCATCACCGGCTAAGAAATCACCAACGCCTGGACAGATACCCAAATATTTTTCTAGAGATTAAATTGAGAGTCATGAAGCTCATAGCACGCAAGGTTAGGGATAGGCAACAACGGCCGCCGCTTCTCCTTAGCACTCAATTGGCTCCTTGATTAAATCACCGAAGGTGTTTTCCGGCGAGAGCACCACTCTGATCGGCCCTAGACCATTCTGAACATTTACAATCAGCAACAACTTAGTGAGCTTATGCAGGCCCCAAATTCCGCCGCGGCTCGCTGCCGGAGCATCCACGATTTCCCCGCGGACGGCAAGGCCACGGGCTGTCAACGGGAACGTCATCGTCGCCGACGCGGCGGTCTGCTATGGTTTGATGGATGAGGCCATTTTAGGTCGCAATTGGAGCGATTTGCGCATTTTTAGGAAAAGTGGATTGAATGGATCACGAGGCGAGTTCCTATTGGTACGGCTGCAAGGGCGAGAAGGTTCCGGGAAATTAATTTTCCCCTTCTTCTAGATCGATCTCCAAGGTCAGGCCGTTTGGTTTGATGAAACAACAGCAAATTCCCAAATGCTTTGGCGGAGGATTGGTCTCCGGCGGAAGGAAAGGGAGGAGCGGCCAAAAAAATTAGGGTTTAGAGACTGAGTACTTTATTCATCATATGTGGGTATTTATACATACACAGGGAGGAGGTAAAGTCTAGGTAAACAAGGTAACCAGATATTTTAAATAATAAGAGTAATATATCTGTCATATTTAACAAATTCGTGATATTTTTCTAAATAACAATTACTTTTATTTTTCTTAAAAAAGAGTAATAAAAATAATAATTAGTTTTAATAATATTATTAACAATGAAAATAATATGGAGTAATTAATAATAATAATAATAATAGTAGTAGAATAAGAAGAAAATAATAATAAATATGAAGTTATAATAATGAGTTCTACTCCACTATTTTTCTTAAAAATTAGAGTGGTAAAAATACTAATTCATTTTAATAATAATAATAATACTTAATAAATAATAGTAATAATAATAGTATAAGAAGAAAAAAGAATTCAAAACAAAACAAAAATAGAAGAAAAAAAGGGAGGGTGGAGGGCTGGATGAGATCCGAAGGCGGAGGAGGGAGGAGGAGGAGGAGGAGGAGAAGAAGAAGAAGAAGAAGAAGAAGAAGAAGAAGATCTGATTGAAATTGGGGAAGAAGGAGGAGGAGTTAACGGAAAAGGGAGATTAACGGAGAAAGTGACAGAATGTCACCCCGGAGTAGTTTTTTGATATTTTAAGGTACCTAGTAGTACATTTTAAAAAATAATGGGACCTAGCAGTTCTTCTCACAAAATCTAGGGTACCCCGCAGAAATTTTTTCTACTTGAGGCACGTCGATAAACACATCTACAAAAATATCTAGGAGGGTGATTTAGGTACATAATAACTTTTGGATCCTTAATGCAGGTAGATAAACATAATCATTAAAATTTCTACATTGTCTCAAATCCCTGTATCAGCAAAACACCCGAGAGCTATGTGTTCTATCTTATAATAGTGCTTCTGAACAACATTTAGACTGGATTGTGCAATATTTCTCCTAGGTTGTTTATGACCCTCAAATGTCCTAGACTGCAGAGGATCACTTTTTTGTTTTCCAATGCCATTCTTTCTAAAATTGGTTAACTTATTTTTAGGTGATCTATGTTCCAAATGCTTTACGGTTGGATATCTGGGAGCATTAACAGAGACTTTCCTTAGCCTACAAAAGGAAAGACGGATCAGGGGAATAAATCCAAAATGTGGTGACGTTATTAGGGTTGAATCCACTCCTTCACCCTTCCATAAAGCCCAAACCAACACCAGGGATGTCCTGCACCCCACCTAGGCCGAACCAACACCCCCCCCATTCCTTTCCTAAACATCCAAAGTTTCTTGTCATTTAATTCCTTTCAAAATAATGTTTTCTTACACTTATTTTTAGCCTATGGCAAAAAATAAGAGTGTGTAAACCAAAACCTTTTGATTGTTGTTATTTCCTTTTTCCTTTCTTTCTTTGGCCAAACTTAGGGCATCCCATGAACCCCATATCACCCCTAATACACCCCTGGAAGAAGTTCTTTGCATAAACTACAACCAAACAAAACACTTCAATTCCTTCATTTGAGAGCCGAGGATACAAGGCCAAAACCACTCCCTTATTTCACACAATAAACCCACCATTACCAGCCAAAACCCCTCTCTTATTCCATGTAAGAGACTTGCCCCTGTCCCCCCTTTTGTTCCCCAACAAAGCTGCTCAGCCCTGGCCCACCATTAACTCAATCAACTCTTTCTTATTCTCTACATAAACACCCAAGAAATACCTCCAAAAGAACAGCCAGCCTTCCCCCTCTTTTACCCCCACTTGGCCAAGAATACATCACCCAAAAAACCAATCAAAGTATGGGTATTATTCACATAAACATTTCCCATGCACTAAAGGCCGAGAAGGGAGCTCCACAACCACACATCATCTCTGAATTTTCTCCCTACCTTGAAGACATGAGGGGTTGATGAATATTTCTAGGAAGCTTCCTTATGTCCCATTAATTGTATTGTGTGTTTCCCCCCACTTTCCCCTCCATATATAATTCGGCCTTAGGGCCATGTTGTAAGGCAGCTTTTTGATGGATTAAAACATTACTCTTTGAGTAAATTTTAAATAGTGTGATGCTATTTAAGCCAAATTCCTAATTCTATATCTTAAGAGTGGTTATCTTAAGTGTGAGTTTTAGGTTCTAGATATTTAAATAAATGTGTAATATCTTATTTGAATTCTAGATTCAAACCCCAAGTTAAGATAAGAGTGTGTCATATCTCTTAACACCAACTTGGTTTTTCCATCCTATTTTATTCCCCCATTTCGTGCATGCCCATATTCTCTTCCTAAACCTCTTTTTTTTCTTCATAAAAAAACACCAAAAGAACTCCCCTTTTGCCCCATAATATTTCGGCCACCCCATTTCCCCCTCACCTCCCCATAATTCCTTCTCTAAAATAGCAACGTGATAAGACCCTGGGTCTCGGGTATAATATTTACGATCTCAATTTTCCCAACATTATTTTGCTTATTAACTTCAAGTTTTGTCTCTTTATTTTTCACATCATTTCTAGGTGAACTAAACTTGCAAAAGTGCTTTTAAATCCTATTTCTATTTTAAAGATGTGCAAGAGGTGAACCTGACCGAGTATCGTGCAGTGTTTACATATGAAATTGACAAAAAGTAGTAGCCTTATGATCCAAATGTTATCAGCTATCACCACCATATACATGACAAAGTTCTAGGTGAACTAAGAGGGGTGTATTCAATTCCGACTCTGCAGGATGTTTCTGGATTTTAAAAGTCAATGAGTATTCAATCAAGATTTTGAAAAATCATTTAAAATTTTGAGGTATTCAATTGAGATTTTCAAAAATCTTTCTAAATCTAATGATATTGAAAAATTGATAGATTTTTAAGGATTGTTATAAAAAATGGATTGTGATGGATTTTGAGGTTGAAGATAAATTAAAAAATTGCTTCCAAATCCAATCAAAAGGCCAGGGATTTTGTGAGGACTCCAGAGCCGGTTTCTTTCTCCGTTCATCTTCTCCATCTTTTCCGTCGGCGGATCTTCATCTTCTCAATCTCCTGCTTTTCCGGTAGAGCTTCCGCCTCTTACTCCTCATCAGAAACTGATTGGTGAAGGTTCACATCGTCGATTATTGCTGTCAATCAGATTGAAGATTTTGCTCGAGTGCAACTCCAAATATCAATGCGAAGCTATAATCATTGAGAGATTACCATCTGGACTCTTTGGGGATTCATTTGAACTGGAACGTTTGGTGCAACGTGGTGCGTTTAAGGAAGCAGGTGTATTTGGAGACACAAATTTAGAGTTGCCTTCTTTTCGCTCCAATCGGTCACTAATTGAGGTTCACTTTGATATGGGCTCTAAGTTATTATCAATGCACGAGGGTGAAATAGAATTCAAAGTTCAGCTTCCACTGCATGCCCGTTATCAGCCACTAGGGCACGGCTTTTCAAGAGTTATGTTTAGCCCTCCGGATTTATTCGTGCGGTATAGCACTGAAAGAAAAGTGGGGGAGAAATGTTTGTTTTCATTGGGCTACCACACTGCTGAACCTGAAGAAGTTGATCTTGTGTGGGAAATACCTTGTGGAGACAAAGATCATACCGAAATTATATCAGCTATTACTTTCATATCTGCTATTCTATCAGCTCTTCTAATTATATATGTATCTGTATACTATTTCTCTTAGTAATACTTGTCTTGACTCTTGATCTTAAGTGGTGCTGACAAGGGTTAGGCTATATTTGTTCTCGGTAATTTGCATCCAAATTTAATGACTTTATGTAGTAAGTTTGTTACTGATGAATAGAGAAAACTTCCTTTTATATATATATATATATATATATATATATATATATATATATTCAGAGTATACTTATCTTGTTTGGATAATAACAATAAACTGCAGAAAGAGTTGAGGATTGAAACAACAAACAAGTAGTGTGGAATAGTAATGTTATATTTAGAGTATGGGAATGGCAACTGTAGTATGAAGTTGTAGTTTATTCTGATATTCTTTGAAGTTTGAATGAACTTTACGAGAATACATATTATTATTCTTGTTACATCCAAAATGATCAAAGAACAAATATACCTTGTGTTTTCTTTAAGTGTACTTACATTAAAAAGAGCAGAATAAACAACAAAAAAATGATAAAATTGAACAGATGAACATTATTTCGATCAATAATAAGTAAAAGAATTGAACTAAGATATCTCAAATCGCGCACCAGATCCCTTCACTTATGCTACGTGCTTGTATACTAGTTTGGTAATTAATTTTATTTTAAATGTGCTTGGTCATATAGATAAATGGAAGACGAAGTGATAAGAAGAGAAGAAAGAGATGAAGGAACTGAAGAAGAATTTTATGAAACTATTAAGTACTTGTTGGGCATTCAAGCAATAATGATTGTTTTAAGAGATGCTCTAATTAACATGCCTCAACGTGTGGAAGGTTCCCTTAAACATCGCTCTGTAACTACAAAAGGATATCATTATATACAAAGAGTGTTGAAAGAAGATCCACAAAGTTTTCGAGAGTTGTATAGAATGTATCTTGATGTGTTTCTTAAGCTATGTACAATTATTAGAGAAGGTACGCCTTTAGAAGGTACTACACGTAGTATTATTTTATTCTAACAAACATATTATGATGATGAAAAAGTTTTTAAAAAATAATTTAATTTTATTTTATTATAATCTTCTCAAAATTTTTAATAGCTAATTACAATAGTTGATGTTACAATAATGTATAACTTTATAAAATAATTCATATTTATGTATAAATAATATATGGATTATAAACAATCAGATAGAATCCTATAAAATCCTGCTGATAAAATACAATAAAATCTAACAAACTCTGCTTAGACTTAAAATAATCCATGGATTTTACATAATCCATAGACTTTAAACAATGTATTGAAATCTTTCAGAATCGTGATTGAATACACCCCCCTAAACTTGCAAAAGTGCTTTTAATTCCATAGGAACAAATTGCTCTGTGTGGGAACTAGAAAGTTCTTTGTTCAGTGGTTTTTTGAAAACTAGGACTCAAAAGTTATTGTCAAGATACACAACATTATTCCTCATCCACTCATATGGAAACACTAAATCAACACCGAGTGTCCCAATTATATCTTTAATTTCACCTTCACATGAATCATAGAAGAACCGGTGTCCCAACCTTTGATGTAATCTCAATAAGAATCAAGTTCCTGCAACCGTATAAAGTCAATCGTACCTAACATCAGACCATCTCCTAAAAAATTATACTGAAATTCAATTACCAAGTCCATTTGGTCCGAATCCTTGCAAAATCGTATTCATCTTTAGTTTATTGTTCAATCACTTAAGAATCAAATTCCAGCAACGTTATAGTGTAAAGTCTACCTAACTCGACTCCATCTCTTCAAAATTCTACTGGAATTCGATGACAAGAATCTCATCTAAGCCCATCATGTCCAAATCGCACTATAAGACCTTTCCATTGCACTTACTATAATAGAGGCAGGGAGTCATCTCTGCAGTCACCTCTTCAAGAGTCAACAAAAGGCTATGATCTTTTTGATTTCCGATTCATTTCTTCAACCAATTCCATTCAAGGAACCAACTCTATCAAAAACTTCTGGTTCACCATGAAATGTAGCTTATTATGTATGGTCGTAAGGTGGCTTATATGTAACGTGTCTGTAGACACACACACGTGTGTGTAAATGTCTACAATGCGTATTTGTAATGTTGGGAAAAATATCATAGATTTTGATGATGATGTATTTAGAATGTAATAGGGACTTTAGGTTTCCCCAGATATTCAATGTAATTTTTCCTTTTAAAAATATTGTTAAAACCAAGTTCTTGAGATTTCCAATAAAGTGTTGATATTTCTTTAAGCGGTTTGATGCCTGAAGACTTAATCAAATTCAGTGATATGGAAATTGGATATCTTGATCGGAAATGCCAGAGACAAGTAAGGATTTCTCAAGCAGATGAAAATCCTCTGATCCGGAAGACTACATAAGAACCGGATGTCTCGCTACAACCCGCTGAAGGCTAAGTCATCCAAATCGGAAGACTAGCGCGAATCTCTTTCTCACCCGGAAGTCTGAGAATGACTCCTCCGGATTTGTCAGCTAAGAACTGGATGCCTCAGGGAAGACCGGAATTCTCAAAAAGCGGACAAGTGAGAAAAGACTTAGAAAATTATCTAAGTCTTGAATGAAGAAATTCTACCCGTTGGTAAGGAAAAATCAATCTCTTGATTTTCAACGGCTAGATTGAAGATAATTATGCTGATTCAAGAACAAATGACTCGAAGACAAAGTCTGAACCACTAAGAATTGAAGAACCTGTCCAGAATTCCTAAACAAGCACTAGAAGACAAACAGAGTAAAGTTCTACAGTCCAGAATACTTGAACAACGGCTAGAAGACAGACTCTATGGAAAAAGGAATCTCTCCTTTAACAAATGGGTATGTCCAAACACCCATTCCAATGAGGAATCTTCAAATCACAATCTTCATTCAAAATTGAAGCCAGCAAATGCAACGGATAGTCTATTATGATTCAACGAATAGATTATCCAATCCAGCTATAAATAGCATCCTTGGAAGACTGGAGAAGACACAATGAGATACAACAACACAACGAAGAAATCTCTAACAACAAAGCTATCTCATTCACAGTTAGCCCAAAAAGCTTGATAAAGAGCGATTTATAAACTCCTTATCCAGAAGCAAACTTCCCCCCGTTCCAAAGAGCTATAGTGTAAACACTTGAAGGTTTCCTTGCCTCAAGCACCACACCACGTTGAAGGATATTACTTTTGATCAAACTTATTGATTAAAAGGGGGTAGGTCAACTCTCTTACAAGTTGATCTTGCAAGTCCTATTGTTCGGACCTTACAGTTGTTGAAGAAGCTTGACCTTTGAAGGAACAACAAAGCCAGCACGAGTGCAGTAGCAACATTGGTCTTGTGAAGATATACCGTGCAGAAATTCACAAAAGTGTAATTGTTGGTTCATTATTCAACAACCAACTACATAGTGGATTTTGAGGACGTAGAAGGATTACCCCACCTTCGAACCTCGTTAAAGTTTGCGTGTCTTTCTGTTTTATCTTTATTCTTACTTGCAATTATATTAACTGTGAAAACTAACCCATCCATATTGATTACTGCTCACTCTACCCACCAAATTCCGCACACAATCTAAAGTTCACAAGGACTCTAGATTAACACTCATTTTCACGTTTTCAAAAGAAACGAAAAAGATTTTAAATCTGTAACAAAGTCTATTCACCCCCCCCCCTCTAGACTTTGTATTTCACCACTTTGGGACCACCAATTGGTATCAGAGCTAACTTCTCACTATCTACGTTTAGATTAACGAGAAGCGATCATAATGGTGAACAATATGGATCACGGTTTGCCCAAGTTTTCTCTCTTAGGTTATGATGATTGGAAGATCATGATGGAAGCACATCTCTACGCTCTACATGAC